TTCGTAATTCCAGTAATTATTTGTATTTTCAATATTTTTATTTTCAGTTTTCCTAATTTCCAAAAAAATTCGTAATTTTCTAATTTTCCCTAAGTTATTGTAATTTTCGTAATTTAAAAAACTTGTGATTTCCGTTATTTTGGGAATTACCGTAATTTTGAAATAACTTTGTAATTCTTTCCCGTAATATTTCGTAATACCCGTAATTTTTGTAATTTTCGTAATTTTTCGTATTTTTCTCAATTCCCGTAATTTTTATAATTTCTTATAATTCCCGTAAATTTTCGTCATTTCCGTCATTTTACTGGGTTCCGTAAATTTTTAAAATTCCCATTATTTTTCGTAATTCCCGTAATTTGTCTTGTTAGTTTTCGTAACTTTTCAAAAATTAGTAATATTTAAATAATTGACGTAATTTTGGAGTAACTTCGTAATTCTTTTGTGTAATATTTGGCAATTCCCATAATTTTTGTAATTCCCGCAATTTTTTGTTATTCCGTGATTCTCGTCATGTTCCGTAATTCTCGTAAATGTTTGCAATCTCATAATTTTTCCAGAAATTATCGTTATTCTCGTAATTTTGAAATGAGGAAAAATGAGGATAAAATCGCGGAAAGTGATGATAAAATCGCAAAAAAAAAGAGTCAAAAATCGCAAAAAAAAAATATGAGTCAAAAATTTCAAAAAAAGTGAGTTTAAACTCGCGGAAAAGTGAGATGAGACTCACGGAAAATTGAGGATAAAGTCACGAAAAGTGAGGATAAAATCGCGGAGAATGAAATAGGAATCGCGGAAAAGTGAGGATAACATCGCAAAAAAAAAGTGAGATAAGAAATTGCAAAAAAAATTATTCAAAAATCACAAAAAAGTGAGGTCAAATTCGCGGAAAAGTGAAGATAAAATCGCGGAAAGTAGGGAAACAATCGCGGGAAAATGAGGTAAGAATCGCGGTAAAATGAGGATGAAATAGCGGAAAAATAAGTTTGTAATCGCCGAGGAGTGAGGGTAAAATCGCAAAAAAAGTGAAGGTGAAATCGCAAAAAAGTGAAGACAAAATTGCAAAAAAGTTGGTCAAAAATTTCAAAAAAAGTGAGTGTGAATTCGTGAAAAAGTGAGATAAGAATTGCGGAAAAATGAGGTAATATATGCGGAAAAGTAGGTTTACAATCGCGGAAAAGTGAATTTAGAATCGCGGAGAAGTGATAGTAAAATGTAAGATTTCTAAATTATGACGTCATCGATGACGTAAGTAAGTACAAAAAGTACAAAAAAAATAAATAATTTGGTTGCACTGATTTTTTATATTAGTTTTAGGTAGTGCCACTGTAGGTAGTGCTATGGTGAGATGCCGGATGGGAGTGCTAATTTTTGCTTTAGGGGTGCTTAGCACCTCCAAGCACCCCCCTAGTTGCGCCTATGCATAAAAACAGTCTGCCCGAAAGACTAAACAGATTTTATGTAGATAGCATAGATTCCATAATTTAATAAATTAAACTGGACTCAGGGAATACAGATACCTTAAGTGTCTAATGCAGATTTTAGCTCATTCAAATTAATAGATCCTGATTCTTTGTTTAGGATTGTTATGTCATTGAAAAACAAGAATAGCCCTGATGACTTGAATGTAACATTAATAGGAATATATGTATATCCGTCTATTGAAGCACCCCTGATTGATTTAATAAATAGTTCACTGGAACAAGGAAAGTTTCCGGATCCTCTAAAGCTCGCTACAATAATACCAGTTCCAAAAATGCCTGACTTAATAGAGGCATCTAATTTTCGTCCCATTGATACACTTCCTGTCATTGAGAAAATAATTGAAAAAGTTGTATAGATGCAGCTTCTTGAATTTTTGAACACATAATAATAATAAAGCCTTTATTCCTAATTAAGGTGCGAGGTAGTAACAAATAACAACAAATGAGACGGCGAGATCTAGCTTAGCTATTCTATCTAACTGTATATAATATATAACAGAGAAACAGTCAGATTTCAGAAATGGTCACAGCTGTGAAACTGCAATACAGTCTAAGAATACAGTACATTCTGGATGAATTTGAAATAGAATATGATCAAGGTTACCATATACTGGTGTTTTTTTTGGACTAATAGAGAGCCTTTGAGACGGTCGATCGGCGCAGACTACTGATGAAACTGGAAAGAATTAAAATTGGGGATGTGGTGTTGAGATGGTTTGGAGATTATCTGACATCAAGAAAACAATTTACCAGACTAAATGGAATAAGTTCAACAGAGATAATCAACGTTCATGGTGTACCACAGGGAAGTGTTTTGGATCCACTATTGTTCATTATTTATATTAACGATTTGCCAGATGTGATAAATGACATTGAATTACACAACTTCGCTGATGATAGTCTTTTCCTTTTCTACGCCTTCTCAAAAGATTTGGATTTGTTGGTGGAAACTGTTAACAATGCCCTAAACAGAATGAACAATTATGCATCAAAGAATCTTTTGAAGAATAATATTAGTAAAACTAAATTTATGTTTATGAGAGCAACTATTCAATTAAAATGGGTAACAATAAGTTGGAAGAAGTTCAAAAAATTAAGTATCTGGAGGTTATTCTTAATAACAAATTAAAATTTAAGGATTAAGGATCACTGCAATATTCTGGTTTCTAAAATTAGTTTTAAGACAAATTATCTTCGGCGCTGTTCGGTATCCCTCTCAACTTGGTCTAGTTGTTGTTTTCAACACTATAGTTCTGCCACACTTCATCATTGCGCAACAATACTTTATTTACTTAACCAAAATGAAATCCGAAGACTGCAGAAGTTGCAAAATAGATCTATGAGAATCATACTCTCATGTAGCAAGTATATACTTCTGTAAAGAGCATGCTTAGACTGCTTGAGTGGCTTCCAGTTGTTGAATATGCTGAATATAATGTACTGGTGTTTATTTTTAAAATTAAAATTGGACTTGCTACATTATATCTGACAAGAAAGATGGTTTGGGTGTCCCATCGGGAACAACAACGATCTATACAGGGTGGAAAATTGAAAAGGATCCGCCTGGATTTTCTCGAAAAGTATCAGGAAATCAAAAAAACGCCGAAACACGTCGATTTTGTTTGCAAGGAGGACACTTTTTGGCTATTTCAAAATGTTCCTAGATTGCACCCCCTTATCGGGGTGAGTTGCACCCTCAAAAGTTGAATAGGAAAACTGGGTCGAGTGGTACCTTGTTTGAGAGGTATTTGAGATGACTTTATAGATCTGTAATTTTTTTCGAAATCTGACTTCTAGTTTTCAAGATATTCGCTTCGAAAGTTGCCATGGGGCGAAAAGAGAACGTGTTTTTCGTGAAAAAATGAAAAGTGGGTCATGTTTGGAAGGTTTTTCAAAAGGTTCAAACTAACAAAGAAATAAAGGTTCAAAAAAAAATAAAATTGACGCGTTTCAGGAATTTCAATTTTTTCTTGTAGAAATGTACGAAAAACACGTTCTCTTTTCGCCCCATGGCAACTTCCAAGGCGAATATCTTGAAAACTAGTAGTTAGATTTCGAAAAAAATGACAGATCTGTAAAGTAATCTCAAATACCTCTCAAACAAGATACCACTCGACCCAGTTTCCCTATTCAACTTTTGACGGTGCAACTCACCCCGGTGAGGGGGTGCAATCTAGGAAAATTTTGAAATAGCCAAAAAGTGTCCCCCTTGCAAACAAAATCGACGTGTTTCGGCGTTTTTTTAATTTGTTAATAATTTTCGCGAAAATCCAGGTGGATCGTTTTTAATTTTCCACCTTGTATGTGAAAAACTGTATGCAGAAAATTTTTGAAAATTTGACAGTATACTAATGTCAATGGGGACAACCCGGCTAAAATATTTTCAAGAATTCAGAATGATTGTTGTTTATATGTTAAATTTAAAATTCATTTTGTCATTTATGTTAATTCGGTTTGTCTCCTTTGTTTTTAATTTTCTTATTTTTGAATTGTTTGTTGTTTTTGAATTGTTATTATTTCAATTGACACTACAGACTCATTAAAACTTTTGTGATTTTATATATTAGGTATGTTAATTGCACGATTAGCTATTCCTAAATAAACAAAATAAATAAATGATATTTTCAATTTATCGCTCATAGTTGTTTGATACACTTGCTGTAGGCTCCATCTACATCCAATATCTCTTAAAAATCTAACAATTTTGGGGAAAATAATTGTTTAAGGAAATCATTGCCCATAAGTATCTTTTGTTCCAGATAGACTTTAAGGGTTCTGTAAAATTCTTAAGGAAATCAAAAACAGAAAAACTAAAGGAAACGGAATCAAAGCTCAACTTCATTCATATTTTCTCTAACTAAATCAGTCGCCTAATTACGAACTTGCAAATTTAATGGAAAATCAATTAAAAATTTGCATGGAAGAGAATTATTATGGGTCCGTCTCTTAAATTAAATAATTTATTCATTTCCAGTGCCACTCTGTCCGACCAGTTTCAAGTTAAAGGTTAACCTTGTTAAAAAGGCTATTTTTGGATATTAAATAACCAAAGCAATTTTTAATAAAATTCCTGATTGCGTGCATTTGCAATGCATCGATGAAAATAATACATACATAGAGGAAGTGAAAATGATTATTAATTACTATACAATAAGTGACCTAGAAATGAAAATATAAATTCAAAGAATCATTTCACTTATTGCAGCTAATAACCTGAAAAACCTATTTAATTTTTCTAATTATTTAGGTCATTTTGTAAAAGGAAGTTCGTTCCAGTTCTGTTAATTAAGAAAATTAGGTTTTTATGGCTCCCCTGTAAGAAAGTTGCGATTCAAATTGAGCGCAAATTTTCCATTTCATCGCAGGTAGGGGAACGGCGGAAACCTTGTCCATTATCATAATTAATTTGCACTTGTATATAATTGCAATATATTACGACCTTGGCATGTCTGATGCATAATGCGCATACATAAAATTGAGTTGTTTTTATACATTTTATGGTTTGATTTCCCAACTTACCCCATCCTGGTGTATCGAAATAGCCCCACATGGGTATTCCCACAGCAGTAGCGCCGACCACAAAGCAAATAAATCCCAAAACAGCAACGCATGTTGAATACAACGGTTTCACCACATTTGTTGCCATTTTTTTTCACCAATTTATCATCATCATTCGAATATCACAGACAAAGAGACAAAACACAAAACATTTAAAAAACAAAAACACAGGCACACGTGAAAAGTTTCAAAGTTTTCCTTCAACGCATCGTGACGGTTTGTAGGCCAAAGACTTGCTTGGACTGGAAAAATGTTATTATTTTCCAGCGGATCAATATTTCGTCCTGCTACATTTATTTTTCCTGGAACACGCGATAAAACAGGTGGGTCTTGGTCTAGGATATTAGCTGGACTTCACTTTTAGTGTGGTGTCTGATCTGGAATAAAATTACATACTTTTTTTAGGAATAATTAACATTTTTTTTAATTATCGATTATCAACTTGTTAATAAGCGTTTTGCACGTAACAAAATAAAAAAGATTTTTGGCCTAGAAGTCAGCATTTAGGCCTAATTTTCTACATATTAGCTTCACAGGAAGACCTACTATCAAGTCTTTTGTGGCCGGAATATTTTTTTCTGTAGAGATCGCACAATAATCGTAACTTTGTATAGTTACAATAATTTAAAAATAAGAAATGTAATTCCTATCATTGGACACCGTACTAACTAACCATAAGCACCCAACAAACTCCTGCATTATCTCCCATCGAAATCCGATTTAAAACAACTGCGCAAAGCTTCTTAAACGCACTAAATTCCATACACTCGCCCGTGGGAAAACCCTAAAACGTTTCCCGTTTGCCCAGCAGGAAAGCGGCAAAAAATACCGACGCCAACGTTGTGAATTTGTTTCAAACTAAACCACCGAAAGTCAAACTACCATAGTAAAAGCACATAGTCGATTCCTACCTTGAAAGGTGTGCCGTGACGTGGTGGGGCGGCAGGAATTGTTGACTTTTGGTACGACCTAACTGCGGTTCTCCGGTGCTTGTTGCTCGTCGGCATTTGACCGCGGTCGAAGAGTTTGATGGTACCTTAGATTGGCGGCATGAATTTTAGCGGTTAACTAGTCTAGCTCTTCTAGTTCAGTCGAGACAATTTTTTAGCGAAATCGAGAAATTGTTTTGGGACTTATTATATTTCCTGCAAGTCTAAACAAACAGTCTCGGAACGATCTGGAGCTTTAACATTAAAAATCTGCTTTATATTCTTGATCTGGTCCAGTTATGAAGCAGATTTTTGTATTAGCAAATGTCGAGTTCAGCTTTAAAACCAAAAATCTGAGCTTATACAGGGTGTTTACTTCACTATTGCTATCTCAGAAATGGTAAAAGTAATAGTACAAATTTCGATTATTACCGGCTCTTGAATTGCAGGATTTTTCCTCCGTCCAAAATTGGAATTCAATACTCTAGGAGAGCCTAGAATAAAATTTCCATTCGTCTCAGTTGAATTTCAGCTCTCTGAGGATGTAAAATGAGTTTTTAAGACAGCTCTTCGTCAAATATAACTTTAAAAATGGTCAGAAAAAGGAGTTTGTTACTTTTCCAGTTCAATTCTAGCTCTACAAGAGCCAGGAATAAAATATTAATGTTCCTTTTCTCCAAAATAGGCTCTAAAAAAGCAAAAAAATAGCGCTTTATACTGTCTAGAGCTCAATTTTAACTCAAGAATGGCTGGTAATTGGATTTCACTATTAGGAGAGCCTGAAAAAGGATTTTTATTCCCTTCACAGCTGAATTTCAGCCTTATGAGCCTCCCCTAAAATGAGCTTTTCAGACAGCTTTATGTATGTCAAATATAACTCTAGAATTATTAGAAAAAGGAGTTTGCTACTTTTCCAGTTTCAATTTCATTTCTAAAAGAGCCAGGAATAAAATGTTCCTTCTTTCAAAATCAGCTCTAGAAAAGTCAAAAATGGGCGCTTTATATACTGTCCAGAGCTCAATTTTGATTCCAAGAATGGTTGGAATTGGAAATTGGATTTCACTATTCTAGAAGAGCCTGGAAAAGGATTTTTATTCTCTTCAATTGAATTTCAGGTCGATGAGTGTGCAAAATCAGCTTCTCAAACAGGTCTATGTCAAATTTAACTCTGGAAATGGCCAAAAAAAGTAGTTTGATACTTTGCCAATTCAATTTTAACGCTACAAGAGTCTGGATTTGAATTTTCATGTTCCTTTTCTCTAAAATTAGCTCTAGAATGCAAAAAGTCAGCGCTTTATACTGTTCAGAGCTCAATTTCCACTCAAGAATAGTTGAAAATTGGATTTCACTGTTCTAACCATTTTTCCCGTAGCAATAAAAGGCGGTCAATTCTCCAAATTTTGATTATTAAATCTGAGCAGGTACGCGGTGTTTACTTCAGGTGATACCACTATAGGCCAGGAAAGAGAGGTTGAACCTCGCAAACAAGTACTGTTTCATTTTTTTTCTGGCAGGACAAGGGCTGCTTATAATGGGTCCAACTTTTTCCAATACAATTTCTCCCTGGAACATCCCCTTTCAGTAGTAGTTTTTTTTTTTGGTTTTTCCGAAACTTATACCTACCGCTTCCGCTACGAGTTACAACAAAATACCTTCATAGTAAATTAAAGAGGACTAATGGCCGTTTGCACCGACCATTTCAAGGAAGCCTTAGCAATAAGTATTCCTTAAAATGACTTTTTTACATGGAGAAATGTCAGTTCAAGGAATACTTACCGTTAAGGCTTTCTTAAAATGGTCGGTGCAAACGGCAATAAATGCTCTGAAAATCACCTACCCTCCATAATTCAGTCATCCAAAGTTCAAAAGCACCGTTTTTAGGAAAAAATTATATACTTACATATAAGTTTTTTCTCACCGGTTCTATATGTTTTTTGGGGTGCTCAGCACCCGGTGCTGAATCCGAATCTGAGGTTTATCAACTCGCCAGATATCGGCTTCACATGAAAAATTGCAAGAAAACCTTAAATTTTCGGCACTTTTTTCAGGTTTCCAACTATAACTCGAAAACCAAGCGTTTTTCAATGATGACTATGGTATACCAAATTAAAGAAGATAAAATTTTCTTTAAGTGCGTGTGATAATGCTAAAGTCACGATAATCCACAACGTCGTTAGATCGTGTTGAAAATATACCGTTCCTTGATTTTCCTTTAAAAAATTTGAAAACGTTATTCCAACTAAGGTTTTCATAAAAGGAAACATATTTGGCATTTACACAAAAAAAAACATCATTATTTAATGATTTTCATATTCATTATTCATTTCTCGCACATCTGCAGAAATGTCACCTGCAACAATGAGAATGAAGACTTTCATTAACCATCTTAAAATCAATATCGTTCATGTTCAATATGGTGGAGCCCTTTTCTTATTAAATTGCCGATTCTGTTTCCCACGATTTTCTTTAAACTTTCTGGAAACGTCATTTCTCAAATTCGTTACTTCAACAGGAACAACGTTACTATTATCTATATATTTATCTCCATCAAATTTAAGCTTGTATCTAAAGAATAATTCACTTGGTGCTGTTTCGTTATTCGGTATTTGGCGCTATTGATACCTTGCTGAATATATTTGAGTATCAAATCCCACAAGTTTGTGTCTAAATTAGCACTCGTAGTCGCCAATGCATCTAATACAATCTTATTTGCCCTTTCTACCTGTCCATAACCTCCTGTAATAAATATTTTTTAAAATACTATACTATAATAATTAAAATAATATACTATTTCCGCACTTGTAAGGTGAATAGCTAGTAGGTACGTTTTCTAAAAATCAAATTCCAAATTTCAAATTTCTTTTTCCTAAATTCAAATAACCATTATAATCTTCATTTTATATTTTCCAAAATTCAATTTCCAACTGTTAATTAACAGTTTCCAAATTTCAAGTTTCAATTCCAAAATTAAAGTTTCAAAAATAAAATAACTATTCCAAATTATAAATTATAATGTTCAAATTTACAAGTGGAAATGGTGTAGGTACAGGGTATTTGATTATATTTGGACCCATACCTACAGCCTTTACTATTTAAAGATAGAAATAGTTATTTATACACCAAGTGAGTTAAATGAATGTTTATTCATGAGAAGAAAGTTTAGCCCACGAGCCCTAGCGAGTGGGTTAATTTTCTTCGAATGAATAAACATTTTAACTCACGTGATGTATACAAAATTTTATCCCATTTTGTGGAAATTTAAAAAATCAAGTACATGGAAAAATGCCGAGAGTGAGTTAAAAATATTTTAAATCACTGAGGTTTCAGATTTTTAGTTGGGCAGAGTGACTTAAAATGCCGAGTTAAAATGTTTTTAAATCACTGAGGTGATAAACGTCTACTTACCTTTATTGTTATGCGTTCAATAATGTCATTTTTAAACGTCAAAATGGGATAATAGTTATTTATACACCAAGTGAGTTAAATGAATGTTTTTCCATGAGAAGAAAGTTTAACCCACGAGCTCTAGCGAGTGGGTTAATTTTCTTCGAATGAATAAACATTTTAACTCACGTGATGTATACAAAATTTTATCCCATTTTGTGGAAATTTAGAAAATAAAGTAGAAGGAAAAATGCCGGGAGTGAGTTAAAATTATTTTAAATCACTGAGGTTTCAGATTTTTAGTTGGGCAGAGTGACTTAAAATGCCGAGAGTGAGTTAAAATATTTTTAAATCACTGAGGTGATAAACGTCTACTTACCTTTATTGTTATGCGTTCAATAATGTCATTTTTAAACGTCAAAATGGGATAAAAAAATTTAAATTCAAAACTTGACAGTTTTTTTCCGTATTTTCTTTTAACGTTATCAGAAAAAACAAAATCGCATCAGAAAATGGAGGAACGTAGACAACTTCGACTTTTTTTAATGGAACACCCTTTATGTTTTGCGATAAAATAAAAGATCTTTTTTTCCTGATTTCAAATATATAATATATTGATCACATTTGAGTAAGCCGTTTTTGACATTTTTCAGCTTAAATTATAAATAATTTGTAAAGAAATTTCATAAGGATGTCAAAACATTTGAATTTTTATAAAATTTCTTTGGATTTTATTTAAAATTTGACCTAAGATATATCAAAAACAACCCACTCAAATGTGATCAGTATATATACAGGGTGTTTCAGAAATAGTGTTACAAACTTTAAGTGTAGATATAACTCATCAAAATAAGAAAAAAAGATCCTATGAATATTTGTCCGGAAACGTTTTGTTTCCGAGATACAGAAACGTTTCGCTTCCGAGGCATTGGTGCCAGAAACTAAAAAAAAAATATATATGTTTTTGTCGAGGTTTTTGTATTATATTTTTATTTTTTTAGGATAAATAGCTGAAATTTCCTCAGAAGTTTCGTACAGAGCGTATATCTTCTGTTCTGTTTCAAAAATAGCCATAATCTTCACGATTAATGAAGGGATGTTTTGTCTTTTTTCGAAAACACCGCCAAAACTATCTGTGATACGATAAAATTGCAAGATACCAAAAACCTTGGCAATGAAAGGGAGAAGCTAGTTGCTCAAAAACAGGCCTGGATTAAGGGGGGTTCTTCCGGTTCTATAGAACCGGGCCCAAAATTCCAAGGGGCCCTCGCGAGATCGAAGATTAGACAAAAAAATTTGAACTTGAATGTTCAACAAACATTGCCGAAATTCCCCCAAAACCTGGCTTGACAAGATTATAAACCAACAGCCTATAACTACGTTGCCATATTGAATCACAACATGGCTCGATAGATGGCGCACTGGCGCAGTGAACCAATAGTTATCACTGTATAGTAATATTAAATACAGTGACTCTATAGTCTATACCACAGTGGTGACAATTGCCGCCTCATTTTTGATTGGTTCTCTAAAATCCGATATTCATATGGAAAACGCCATAACAAATTGATTACAACGTATTTGATGTAC